AGAACGCCCCGGTTTGGAACTTCTTGCTCAACCCTTCTGCAGCTAACTCGTTTCTTTCTTCATTCTGAAACCAAACAACCACGATATTAAACTTTCTTATGAGTATCATATCATATTACACAGCTTGTACACAGCTTGTACCTTGCTTTTCAGACTTATAATAATCGGCCCAGATCTCGATTCTCGATAACACCCTTAACCAGTCAAAGAAAATAGGTTAGAAAGAGATTGCAGAACACATTTAATCACTCTGGGAAAACTACAAAGGTTTAAAGACTCTCACCAATGTGTATATCTGGGAATTCAAGACAGAGTTTAGCCAGAGATGGAGCAATCTCTACCTGCATTTAATTAAAAAAGAAAAAAAAAAACATGTCTAGAGTCGAAGAATGAGCACAGATGCAGCTATGTGGAAAGGAGAGGAAAATCTGACACATACATCTGAAAGTTTTGTGGTCAAGTGCTTTGACTTGTATGGTTCCAACAATGGGAAAAGGTCACCAGTTCTTGTTAATTCAATCAGGCAATCCCACTGCAAGTCCAGTTCCGCCATGTTTGTTGCAGTAAGAACTATCACATTGTGACACTTGATCTACAGGAGAGCAAATCTTTAGCTACTGATTTGAAGAAACACCACTGTAGAAATCATATCAAATAGATTCAAATGTAATGAAATTCAACATATTAGAAGGCAAACCGTACCAATGGGACGGGCAACTTTTCATGATGCAATAATTCAGTGATCCCTTCAGGCAGCTGAGCCATCTGAAAAGAAAACACCAGTTTATCACAACAGAACGAAACCAAAACATCTATGTTCGGTTCAAAATTACCTCATTTCGGTCACCGGTGCAATGCTCCCCTATAAGATGTCTGAGATATTCTTCAAATTCTTCATCAGGAGCCTATTGAAGCCAGTTGATAAAAGCAAAGGAATAAAGGTCTCACTTCACTCCAAAATATGATATTCTCAATTTCATTCAACTATCTCAATGCGAAATTGCCAAAGAAATAAAACGACGCACCAGTCGAACCCCAAATGCCTTTGCGATACCTCCTAAAGTTGCATCAGAAAACAATGGGCCTACTCCTCCATATATAAACACCTGCAATAGCCAGCAAGTAAAATGAGGCTAGTGCATCTTATAATTTCATGACAACAAAAACCAAAAGAGTTATTTGAAGGTTGATTAGTACCATCTCATTGGAAGACCTTCTTAACTCTACTTCTTCAGCAACAGAATCTATCTGGTATAATGTGAAAGAACAGAAGATGAAAAGATTAACAAACGTCATTAGAGAAATGAGAATGAGGATTAAAAGCCCACGATAGGCACATACACAACAATTTACATTTAATATCATTAAAGAAATCTGTTGTTGTACATGCAATGAGTTATTATACACAATTCAAACAGGTAAGTTGATTCAACCAAGAGCTAGAAATTTGTTGTTGTATAACTTACATCATTCCGGACAATGGAAGTATGTGATATAGACCAACCAATAGAGTGCACCTTTCTTCGCAGTGAGAGTCCCAATCGATCCTCAACAGTGCCGAAGCTGAGCTATGGGCAGATAAAGGATAATGAAAGACTTCAGCGATAACAGTCGATAACATTTCAAAATCAAACTGTACTTTGTTTTCTATTTCTTCCCTCTTTTTTGCAATAACAATGACATCTCAGACAATTGTTACAACTGCAACAAGACAAGATGCTCAAAACAGCAGGAATGAGATGTTCAAAATGGTGGAATAAAAAACCGAGCAAAAGTTTAAGAGGTTGGTTGAGATTCATCATAACAAAGGTTAACTACCATTAGTATTAAATATAATATGAACAATTTAATCAAAAGAATGTAGACATTTAGCAACTAATAATGTAGTAGAAACAAGAAAATTACAGGATCTCATCTCCAACAGCTATAACCGAAGCAGTGAGCATGCTTTGTTTCTGCAAATCGACGTTGCTCGCCCCATTACTCGTAGGATTTAGCACAGAAGGTGAAAACCGTTTTGCTCTCCCTGCTCTTTCCGACCTTCCATCTGAAAGCAAGTATGCAGGTCTAAATTTCCCCTTGCTTCCAGTGGAATTATTAATGCACAACAATGCATTTGGAAGTGTATCATGTATACTCCCAATTGAAGTATATCTACAAAATAAAGCTAAATATGTAAGTTTAAATATCAAGGAAAAGCTTTGAAAAGAGTAAAGTGGGCATCACAAACAAACACAACCCTGCAGCTACAAGAGCAAAAAAAAAAAAAAACATTCTGTGCTTGCTAGGTATCATTACCCTTGATCATAAAGGCTGCAGTACTGAACCTTGCAAGTTAATAGGAACGCCCATACATCTCTGGGAAGAAGAATGAAAAAAAAAACAACCAGTAGTCATATTTCCTCAAGTAGAATATCAACTATGAAGTAGAAAAGTGCACATTCTACCCCTGGCCAGTATTCTCATAGATTCTGCATCTCAATTTGAGGAGTCACCATAAGAAAAATTAGGGTGGGTAAAAATGAAAGAGCATGTAGTACCAAACCATACCTGTACGACCAATCCAAAATGGGATTCACTCTCATAAATGGTGGCCATCCAGGTGAACTAGGGGAAAACTGTTCTTGGCCAACCTGTTTGTTTTGAGAGAGAGGGGAGTAGACAAATCAAGGCATCTTCATTTCAAATTGACGCTATTAAATAAATGGTGCCTACAATAACCAGAGTTTAGGGAGATATAGTGCAAATAATACCGCGGTAGGATCCCCAATACGAACACCAAGGAAAATAGCTCTGACAGGTCTATTTTTCAATAAAGACTCCAAGCCAGATTTGAAATCTGTCCGGATGATATCCATTAGCAAGCCATAGCTGTTATGTAAGAATGAGTTGAATATCAGTTAGCTTAAAGTGAGGCTATAGATTTAATTCCGTGAAGTGAAATTAAATGTGTTTCCCTTACTTAGTTGCCATATCATAAGTAAATGAGTTAATTTCAGGGAAAGCAGAAGGGCTCTCGAAATATATTGTTCGAATAGGAAATTCCTTGAGTCCATCAACAGAACAGCCTTCTTCCTCCTTATGCAGGAAAAATGCAGCTCGAAGTATGTGCAGTAAAACCTGCACATTCAATTTTCCATGAGAACCAATGAAGAAAAAAGAAATTAGTTGATAAACAGAGAGTCCGAGATTGAAACTTACAGTCGAATCTTTCCCGCCATTGAAGCTGAAAGCGACCTCTTCAGTGCTGTTGATGATACAAGTTACAATGTGTTATAACATGAGAAAAACTTGAGGTAAATGCCATTTTATGTTTCAGGCAATGGTATCATATAGATGCCAATCTATCATTTCCTTAGCTTATTGTTGAGACTTTCTTAACCTACCCCAATGAATATCTAATCACCAACAAAACGATGAACAATTGCAATCACAATGCCAATTCACTGACTTCAAGTGTAATTGTTTAAAGTTAAAAGAACTCATCAACACGTATTAAATGAACCCCTTCAAATAAATCAGTTTCCCAATTTCAACTAATAACTTCCGTATAAGAACTACCAATAATTACATCGGTGGGAATGGAATAATTCAAATGCATCACGTATTAAAGAGCAAGATTAAAATTTATCCGTTTCTATAACCACAAGTTTCAAGGCAACCAGCAAAAAACCAATCAACATTAACTCAAGAATGACAACACACCAAACAACCATCAGAAATCGACAAAGAAGTACTTACGAATATAAAGACAAAGCTCTCTTAACAACATAGATGGCGTTATTGTACTTGGTCTTGAGCCTCCGATCGTCACAATCTCTGATTGCTTTATCGATCTCCATGCCCTCTGATACATTAAACTCATTTTACGTTACTAAACACAAACAAGTCCGAAACAGTTTTGGCGACCTCAGGAAATCCCAGAAGATGGGAAGGTGAGGCATTTGCTCATTTCCAAGAATATGAAACCTCTCTTAAACGAAGTAAGCAAAATGGGTATTCGTCAATTGAAGTATAGAAGCTATTTTCAGCTAATCTACGTAAGTAAAAGTGAAGTAACTCACCTTAATCAACACTGAAGATGCGCCAATTGAGAGGGGAAACTAGAAAACGAAGAGAAGGGAGAAAAGAGAGAGACGCCCACCTTGTTGAGATGAAGGATCTCAAAGACGGAGAGGGAATAGAGGTGTTGTTGGAATGCCACAGATTGATTCTCTCTGGAAATTGGAAGTTTTGTTAAGAATCTTGGTGTTGGTGATGCTCTAATCTTGGAAGGAAAAAATGAAGCGAAGGGGAAGTGGGGCACGGCACAACCCGTTGAAAGTTGAAAGTGAAAACCGAAATTTGAGTCGCTTCGTCGGGTAATGATAATGGGAATGGGAATGGATACTGGGAATCTCCCCTCTCCTTCTTCGCAATTTACACAGGAATAAAAAAGATACCTTTTGATTTTTTTTATATACCTTTTCGTGTTCTAGATGTCGTCCGCGGCCCATTTTATGTGGCCTCAATTTCGGGTTTGATCTTGTTGGGCCCACCAGAAAGCCCAAAAGTTTATCATTTCTTAGACCAATTTAATATCTCTTTTATCAGTTAAGCTTTCATTCAAGACTTTTGTCCCTACTCAACTCAACTCAACAGATGAGTCTGGCAGTCAAGCTAACTCAAACCTTCCATTTGACACTGTTAGACCACTAGGCCAACTTTTGTCACCACTCAACAGGTGAGTTTTGCAGTCAAACTCCCTTATGCCTTTATACTTAGAGTGTCAATCTCTATCTCTGGTATGAACAAATCAAATCTTTACACACCTGGGTTACAAGTATTTTCATAGGTGGAGTCTTTAACCCATCCCTAAAAGGTCACTAGATAAGGAACTCCAGATTTGAGACTAAACTCATGCGCTTCTTTGTTGACTCGAGCTTTTTAGCGTAAACGTAAGCAATAGAGATGATAAAAATGTACGCATCAAACACTAAGTGGGAGCCTGTAGTTATTAGTATGTGACAAATTTTGTTCATTACTAATGAATAAGATTTGAATACATAACCAAAAAACTTTCTAATATCTTAGTCGATCTTTCTAAACACGACTTGCTAGTTAAAGTAAAAAACTCGGTATGCAGATTACCCAGGAAGACGACGACGACAAAAAACAAAAAAAAGTCGTCATCTTCTCTCAGTTAATTACAAATCAGAGTAGAGTACAAGAGAACCATCTATTCTGATCATCAAATTTGTTCAATGGTTATACCAAAAAATGAATAGAAAGCCTTGAAAAGAGGGGCAAAGAAAGAAGAACAATGCATTTCTGATAGATTGAATGAGAAAGCCTAATCATAGAGGTCATCTTAATGCCAGATATCAACCAAGAAGTCCACCATTTCCTGCAGAATCCAATAAAAAGAAGCTTTATAAAGTAAAAGGAATCGAAAGGGAAGGATGAGGATGAAGAACAAAGAAACCTTACAGCTAAAGGAATCGGCTGCTGAAAAGGCTCTGCAGTTAAAAGAAGATCTTCATAAGTCGTAGTCCAGCTGCAACCAAAAATCAATTGAAGATCTTCTTCAGCAAACACAAGTACAGGGAAATCAACAGCAGTTTCTAAACTGACACTTGAAGCTAAATGAAATTAATACCTCAAGATTGGTTCCATTGGTACTTGTTGCATATTTCCCGAACAGTCGCCCACCCATTCCCGCCTGCGTTCATGCCAAGCTATCTCCGCTGTACAGAAAATGATGCAACATCATGACATGTCCGAGGATTTTTGGTTGGTAAATCCAATGGAGATGTCGCCAAATGGTATGATACTGAACACTAGCTTTACAATCGATGCGTTGAGCGAAGAGATTTACCGTGGTTGACGAATGTCGGCATCTCGTTAGACTTAACATTTGAATCATCTGAAGAATGGTTTCCATTTCCTTTCAAATTAGGAATTATACCATTGATTTCCATTTTCTCCATAATGAACAACCATTGCCTTGAAGAACTGTTATCTGTAATTCTGTACACATGAGATAAAGGAAACGAGCTCCTTGAGGAGAATTCACGGGGGATAGAGAGAAAAACAAAGAAAAGGCACCCAAGAGTCCAAGAAACTATGGTAGCAACTAAGAATGTGTTCGGAAAAGCTTTTGGAGTACTGTTTACGTAACAACTCAAGCCTAATGCTCACAGATATTGTCTTCTTTAGGCTTTTTCTTCCAGGCTTCCTCTCAAAGTTTAAAAACTTTTATAAAGGTGTGGAAACCTCTCTGTAGTAGACACGTTTTAAAACCTTGACGGAAAGCCCGGAAGGAAAAGCCTAAAAAGGCCCATGTCGGCTAGTTGTGGGCTTGGGCAGACATAGTTTATGAGTAAAGACTTCAAACACTATTCAAATGTTTACTCCAAAAGCACTTCAGTGCTTCTTACAACACATTTTAATGTGTATCTACCTAGCTAGATGTCATGGAAAAAAATTAGAAAGTATCTTTACTAGTTAAAAGCCAGCAGAGAAGAATTCTTTTCTTCTCCTCCAATTTCATGGTATGGCTTATCAACTTCTACAACTCTACTGATTCCTAAGAGATAAGCAAGAAACAACACCAACACATAACAATTTCAAGAAATCGACATTTGAGACACCAAAGAGTTACCTTCCAATCAAAGATCCATCCATCAACGAAATATCATGCTTAATTCGAAAAATTAGGATCAACTGTTCATGTTTCTCAATAAACTTACATATCCAAGGTTTGCCACATTTCAGAAACAATCATCGGACAAACAATCACTCCAAAGAGACTATGAATCGAAAGAAAAACGCAAAAATGTGGCAAAAATCGTCACAGAAGCAGAAATGGAAGAAAATTTGAACAAGTAGGGCAGAGGAGGGGAGTACCTTTTGACCCTCAAAAAGGGAGCAAAACAGTGAATCCTGTAGCGAAGCGTTGAGAATGGGGTTGATCCGAAGGAAAATTACCGAAGAAGAAACTGCCCCANGGGGGGGGGGGGGGGGGGGGGGGGGGGGGGGGGGGGGGGGGGGGGGGGGGGGGGGGGGGGGGGGGGGGGGGGGGGGGGGGGGGGGGGGGGGGGGGGGGGGGGGGGGGGGGGGGGGGGGGGGGGGGAGTAAGTGGATTCTTGAGCGCTAAACGGCGATACAATACTGACAGTTTCCTTCGATCCAACGGCTGTAATTCTGCCAAGTGCCAGCAGATGTGTGGTTGAAGGTTACATTCAAAACCCCATCTGGGACCCCAACAAATGAAGAACAACAACAACAACAACAAGTCGGGGGTGCGGTGGATTTGGGAGATCCTACATCTTGGGCCTCTGGTTTTAATGGCATTTCCTTTCGTATTTTCTGGGGATACGAGATATCATCTTCTGTTGAGCGTTCAAAAATGATACCCCATCCAATAATGGTCCAATTTATGAGGTCGGTAATGCTGGGGACTGGTACAATCGTACGATCTTCATTACAGTTTTCATGGAAACAATAATGGAGGCTTTCGGATCTTCAGGGAGGCAATCATCAAATTCCTCTTTTTCTCACTCTCATCCCCTCCTAAATTCTTCTACTTACCAGTTTATATGTAACAAATATGAAATTATTTATAATAAATTTGTATAAATGATATGGTTATTGATATCATATATGTTTTTCATATTTTATATATTAATATAAAATTGAAAAGAAAATGTTTTCATATTTTATCATCTCAACGATCTTTATTTGTCTTTCATCTTATGATCATGTCTAATTTAATTCATAATTTCATATATTGTCTCTAGGCTAAGAAACAATGGGTTGATATTTACGAAATATTAAGCTACAATATAAATGTGACACTAAATAGTATTCAATAATTAAATGTAAAATCAATACTTTATTGAAAAACATCATGCAAACTCTTAAATTACCTTAATAATTTCAAAGAAGCTATTCAGCAAACTGTAGTGGGCTCGGTCTGACAATCACGTTAGGCCCATTAGCAGATTACTTGCTATATTAAGAAAATAGAATATTTGAGAATTACTTTTTTAACCCTTTAATACAATTCAATAATGGCATAATATCTTCTTTTTTATTTTTTGTATTAATCAATTATATTGATTTTATACTGCTCTAAAATGTGAGACAGCTTGGAATTATTTTTTAAATTTTATTTATTTTATCATTTATTAATTTTTTTTTTTTTTTAAGATAAGAAAAAACGTTCGAAATTACCTCTTGGGGTAAAATACAGTGTTGTCGTTATGTACAGTCAATAGAAAGTGTCGGTAAGGCTTAGATTATATATATATATATATATATATATATTATTACTATTATTACTATTATATTTTTATATTTTTTAATTAATAATTCAATACTTTTTTCTATCAATAATTTGTTGTCATATGCATGAATGATGTATAAGGTATCCAAGGGATTTTGTGTCTGAAACTTATGATATCCTTATTATTTTAATATTTTATTTCTTTTTATTATCATATATTTATTATTTTCTCCATAATATAGATAAATATATAATTTCAATATTTTATGTTCCAACCACTAATATATATATATATATAATATAATTCAGTTAATATAAATTATGTAATATGATTAAACAGTCAAATGTACAAATTCACTCTTTAAATGAAATAAATATGAGGTGCTTAGTGGTTTGGACTATTTCCACATGTTTTTTTATATGTCCGTTAGAAATAATTCGCATTTTTATAAAGTTTTTGTTCTTTAAGCGAGCATAGATCAATTAGAATAAAAATATATATTATTGACAAAACGTAATAAATGTCGATTCTTTTGATAGGTCACAAAGCAAGAATCTTTTAAATTCCTCACTTATGACGTGGATTTGTCTTAATTGGTTGATTTTAAAAAAGAATTTATATTCTAGCCTTCTAATATCTTTCGAATCTTTTGAATTTCGATGCCTACATATATTCTTTGTAGGTAAAAAAAAAAAAAAAAATAATAATTATTTAGATAATACTGTGATATTTCCTTTAATTAATTAACGTGAGATTCCAATAATTCTTTGATACTATATCAGAAACAACTACTCTCTAGATTAGTACGATATTACTCACTTTAAGTATAAATTCGCGTCTTTGTATTTTATCTCACCGTCAGATCTAGTAACAATAGAGATAATCCACTAAATAATAATAATAATAAAAAAACTATTTATGGCAAAATGACAAACGAAGATGTCTCCTAGTTATTTTTAGATTTTAAAAAATTACATAAAAAAAATATAAGCTTTTAAAGTCACCGGCAAAATTTTGAAAAAGTTATTAATGTAGAGTTTTGTATTTGTATATAATTTTTATTTATTTATTTTCCTTTTGAAAATAAGACAAATTAAGTAAATAGATCTTATAAAATTCCAATCAAAATTGTTCGAATAAAAACAAATTCGTAAAATTAATCGGATAATTTATCAGGAAAAATAAAAACAAAACAAATAAAAAATTACAACCTCTGGAAACATGGAAAATTCATGCACCCATTGGAATCCAAGCTGGCAAATTATGACTGGCCGACACTATAGTGCGGTGACTGTCACATTACACATTCGTCAACGCGCAGAGCGAAGAAAGTATCCGGAAGAAGAATCCAGTGTACTGGAGCCTATGATAATCTAAAAGAAAAACCGCCTGGTAGAAATATGGCGAAATCACAACCGTTTGACTGAAGGATCAAATTTTAAAGATACAATCTTATCCAGTGCATCTTCCCACAGTGAATAAAAGAGAAATCTCCGACCACATTATTGTTATTTTTACAATTTTATATAAATACGTACAATATAAATGGCCCACCGCATTAAATTCTTTAAACAATATTTACATCATAATTACGTGCCATTCATGGAGTATGGTTCTCCCCTATATTTATTCTATCTTCTCGATTTTTCATTTTATTAAATATTACGTCATATATTACGTGATGTTCGAATTTATGACATCTAAAAAATATTTTAATGAATACGTGGCAAAAAAAAAAAAAAAAAAAAAACCTAACATATATAGGTCTTAAATTGGGTTGATTGTTTAATTAATTAAGGAAAATGAGTATTGAGTTTATCCTACGTGGCCAAAACATAAGTGTGGGTCCGGGGTCCTTCCAACTAGGCAAATAACCTTTATTTATTTATCTACCGTTCTCTATTCTATCCTCCTTACACTCACTCACTCCTTCCACTTCCACTCTTCCATGGCTTTCTTCTTCTTCCTCCTCCTCCTCCTCCTCTCCTCCGCCGAAGCCTCCTGGCCGCCCTCCCCCGGATTCTGGCCGAGCACCCACGTCCGCTCCATGGAATTCTACAGAGGCTTCCGCAACCTCTGGGGCCCTCAACACCAAAGCCTTTCCCAAGACACTCTTTCCATTTGGCTCGATCGCACCACCGGAAGTGGATTTAAGTCCCTCCGCCCTTTCCGATCAGGATACTTCAGCGCCTCCATTAAACTCCAACCCGGCTATACCGCCGGCGTCATCACCGCCTTCTATGTATGTAATTTTAATTTCATGTTTCTGGGTTTTTAATCTTTCCTGTTTTGTAATCCACCTCTGGTTTGAATGGCAGCTCTCCAACAACGAAGCTCACCCAGGATTCCACGACGAGGTCGACATCGAATTCTTAGGAACCACATTCGGTAAGCCTTATACATTACAAACCAATGTTTACATCAGAGGAACCGGCGATGGTCGAATCATCGGAAGAGAGATGAAATTCCATCTCTGGTTCGATCCCACTAAAGATTTTCACCATTACGCCATTCTATGGCGCCCAAATGAAATCATGTACGTTCATCACCCACATCATTCAATTTCATCTGGGTTCTGTTCCACTCTGCTAACGACTCTGTTTTCTTCATCCTCTGTTCTTAGATTTCTCGTTGACGACATACCCATCAGAAGGTACCCAAGGAAGAGCGCTGCGACATTCCCACTGAGGCCAATGTGGGTTTATGGCTCGATATGGGACGCATCTTCATGGGCCACAGAGGATGGGAAATACAGAGCGGATTACAGATACCAACCATTTGTGGCTAAGTATAGGAATTTCAAAGCGAGGGGTTGTTCGGCGTACTCACCGGCATGGTGCCAGGCGGTATCGGCGTCGCCATTCCGGTCAGGGGGGCTGAGTAGGCAACAGGAGAATGCAATGAAATGGGTACAGAGCCATCAGTTGGTTTATAACTATTGTTGGGATAACAAGAGAGACCATTCCTTAACACCAGAGTGTTGGCATTAGAATTTTGCGGGGATTGGGCTTTATCATGCACTGAAACTGAAAGCTCCATTAAATTTTTGCAGTTTTTTTTTTGGATTTGGTGATTTTATTATTGGTTTGAAAATTTATATTTGGAAAGATGTTGACAAATGGGGGGGTCCCACGTGGAAAAATGGCTTAGAAAAGAAACAGATGCGAGCATTTTTTGACCTTATAGCGTCCAAAATCCCCTGTGATCCGAACGGCAAAATAATAATAATAATAATAATAAATGAATATTGTGCGGTGTTTTAATTTAATTTATTTATTTCCTGTTTATTTTTGTTGTGATTTCATGAGAAAATGACACGTACTCTTAATGATTCTGAGTTGGATATTACTTTTGGTACGTTCAAATTTCTTTTTAGCTTATGATTCATACTTTTCAATTATTATTATTACTATTTGATAATAAAGTTCATAGGAAATTAATTAGAAATATTGTTAAAATATTTAATTTATTTAGATCCGGAATGAAGATATATTGGAATATATTATCCGCGTTTTGTTTATTATATATCAAATAAAAGCATACCACAAACGTCTTTTCAACTCATTGAATTAGTCAAAAAGACGGAAGACAACCAAAAAAGGAGTTTACCAAAATAATTTTATTAAATGCAACTCATCAAGACAAGAGACAACGAAAAATGGGGTTACCAAAATAATTTAATTCCGAAAATCCAAACTCACTGTCAGTAGATATTGTCCGCTTTAACGGTTACTTATCACAGTTACACTCACAATTTTTAAATATGTCTGTTAGGGTGATGTTTTCACACCCTAATAAAAAATGTGTGTTTATTAAGGAGAAATTTATACACTCTTGTCATAAATGTTTTGCCTCCACAACTAATCCACCCTATAGTTTGTTTTAGCCTATGAGATCTCATCTTTGTAAGCCCGCCTCCAGTAGATATTGTTTGTTTTGACTCGTTACATATTACTCTTTACTATTAAAAAGTTTTCACACTCTTGAATGTTTCATTCCCCTCTCCAAGTGTCAAGCCCACCGCTAACAGATATTATCTGATTTAGTTCATTACATAGTGTTGTCGGTCTCACAATTTTAAAAAGCGTCTATTAGGTAAATGTTTCCACTTCCTATAAAAAAAATGATATGAAATCTGAGAGCCATTGTCCCAATTCCTTCCCATCGAAGCTATCTTTTGGCGTTGGAGCTTAGAATGGCAAAGAATGGTAAGGGGCTTCGTGCTACCACGCCCATGTGGATATGGAAGCGTTTTCCTTTTCCATTTCTATTCAAATACGCTCGATAGAAGCACGAGTGGTCATGTAAAAAGTTTGAAACTTTAGCTATTGCATTTTATGAGTATGATATGAAATGGAGTGAGAGTGAGAGTGAGAGGTCAAATAATTTGGGGAGTGGCACAAAGGGCCCATACCCATACATGGATAAGGGTATATGAAGAGGCATGTGCCCAAACGCCAGAAATCTCATCTTTCTGTGCATCACAGAGCAAAAGAATGCCCCTCCTCTGAAAAACAACAAAGTCCAAAATGAAGAATTACAAAGCCAAGGGGTTTTGTTTGAGTGGTGGGGTTTGGAGATGGGGAGGCATATTATAGCCCATTATTGTATATCACCACACTCTTGTCCTTGCTTTCAGTTTCACCTGTTACATCTGAACTCAACATAACCCTCCTCTCATCATATAAAGTATTTTGCTTTCTTATTTTGTCATTTTTTAATCATTCAACTCCATGTTTTGTGCTTCCTATAAACAATGATCGCTTCCCAAACCTTTCATGGGCTACCGCGTCGTTCACACGAACAAAAAAGGAAAGGGAGACGACTAGCGAGAGAATTATATTAAACTTTCGTACCCTTTATCATATTTCACCTCTCCAGCCTAAGGTACTACACGTTTATGCGAATGGTCATATGACTTCCCTACAAAAAAAAAAAAAGAAAAAAGAAAAAATTCATCAAACGTGATAATTTGGAATAATTTGTTGAACACAACTCTTTGTGGGATACCCTCACACTCGACAAATCATAATCCTAGCATCTATTTAGATCCTCATAATTGTTGCAAGGGAGTGAATGGGGAAATTCAAAATAAGAACACATTTTTTCATATTTATGGATGAAATTGCAAGAGATATAAAAGATGAAAACGAGTTAGAGAAATAGATATTTAATTTGCCGGGTAACTTGTTAGCTTAGGTAGTTAGGGCGTTGGTTTTATTACTACTCGAAGGTCGGTAGGTTCAAATCTGGCGCCGATCATTTTCTGAACTTTTTTTTTTTTTACCCTTTTCGTTTAATCAATTTGGACGGTTTTGATCTTTATTTCCTTGACTCAGATTGGTTCAGATTCATCGAAGGCGCCAGTTCGTCGGAGTTGCGATCTTCTTCTTCTATCTTTTTGCTAATCGATTTGAAAATGGTAAATCCCTCAATTTCTTCCGATTGGTAGCTTGAAATTTTCTTTTACGCTTGTTTTTCGTTGGATTAGGTTTGCTTGGCGTGTTTGTTGCCTCTGTTTCTCATTCCAGTCGTCAACGCGCTGCCTGTTCTGTTCGATTTAATTATGGTACGCCCATATGATTCATTTCTCTTTTGGATCTCATCTTTTCGCCCGTTCATAAAATCGCCTCAAAGATTTCGGGTTTTCTGTGGTGTTGAAGGGAATTTTGTTAGTATTCATCCTAATTTGCTGCTTTCTTTTGTTGTTTTTCTTGAATTTTCTCTTAGGGCAAAATTTATGGAATTTTTGGCTGGGAATACAGAAAACCACAAAGGGTACCGCCGGCTTGCCCCTATCGCCCTGCTGCCAAACAAAATAGCAATGTGAGTGGTCTGCTATCGTTTTTACTCTATTTGTGTTGTCTATTGGTCTTTTGAAGAAGTAACACACGCAATATTGGGGAAATGGATGAATTTTTGTTGAGAAATTGGATATGAATGGAGCGTGTGTCATGAAGAAGTTTAAGCTTTGATGGATTAATCTTCTTGTGCATGCGTCTGGCTCATACACTATGGTGACAGTGAGAAAGGATATATATTGCATCCTAGAGGGGCTATAATTGGAGATTCCATTTTTTGGTACAGAAGTTCCAATAGAAATAGGAAATACCCTGGACCTTTGAGTGCAGTTTGAACTATTGATTACGTAATTAGAAGTAACCAATTAGGTTTATGATGAAACCTAGAAATCGATCGCTGATCCACTTTGAGTACCTCCACATGATAAGACCTCAACAAAAAACTGAAGAGTAACGACATCAAGTGATTGAGTTCAGCAGTTATTCATATAAAATTATTGACTCTAGAGATATATTGGTTAATTGTTTTCTCAAGAAGCCACTTTAATAGCATGGGCATACTGAGGAGATTGCCAGGATTGTGCATCGTTACTTCATGTTACAACTAATAATGAATCATAATGTTGATGAAGTACGTGTGGCTAGTGTATTGCAATGCTAGGGTAGTGTCAAAAGCGTAATTACCTTACTTAGGAAAACTTCACTGAAGCAGAAGTTGAGAGAGACTCTTCACTTTGTTATGCCTAACGTTGTCTCCTGCTTGCTCTTCAGCTCTCCAAGAGGAAAACCCTCAAGTTTGCCTTCCGCCTTTTAAATCGTTGTTATTAATGGTTTTAGGACCTGCTAGAATCAATTTTGGTCAGTTGTAAACGAATAAATTAAAGATGACTTCTTTTGAATCGGATGACATCCCTCGATTTTCTCCCCCGCCATTTTTCTCTTCTCTTCCTTAAGCGTGATGATTTTGGGAGCACCATATCCTTTTTAGTTTATGTATATACTCGAGCTGCATCAGACGTTAGACATTTGTACGGCCCTAAGATGAAAGTTCACATAACGATATGTGTTTTTATTTTCTTGTGTAAAACGAGAAGTGCCTTCGTTTTGTTTTGCTTGTGTTTAGTATTTTGTATTTTGGTGATTTTTTTTTTCGGACTTCCTGACAGCGGATATGTGTGTATTCTACACTGCACCTATCGTCTAGTAGTTTAATTCTTAAGGTTTGCTCCTCTGGCTGGTTGAAGCAAGCTTTTTCTTAATCTTAATAGGTGGAGTTAGAACCTCTAGCTGGTCAGCAACTCCCACCTCCAAAAGTCGTGGATGAGAAGCAAGACTGAATCTGGAAATTTCTGATGTACATACCTGTCAGCAAGATCAACAGATGTTTGTGGCCTTAGAAGCTGTGGACACTGTCGATTCTAGGAAGCTATGATTTCCAATCGGGTCAGACAAAAAAAAATATTTTAAACTCTCATCGCTAATACTATCAATACAGTTATTTGTCGTGCATGCTTTCTGAATAACATCAATACAGACATTGTATGTATGCTTTCTAAATAATTTAGCTGGTTTGCTTGAATATGTTTTCCTTACTTGTAGTTAATTAATGCTCGTGGAATCTCTGGGAAGAAAAAATAAAATAAATTAGGCCTAAAAAAAGGTCTAACTAACAGATGCCTACTAACTCTTTTGTTCCCAAAAGAAATTTTGGCTGCCTTATCTGCCTTCATGTTAACGACTAAGATAGTGTTGTTTGTTACCCTCCTTTATATATACATATGGCCCATTGAGTGTATAGATTGCTAATTATGTCCTTTGAATTCCAAAATAGAAAATTAGTGTTTTAACCATGGTGGGGACAAATACTTGAATAGCATATTGTATTGAGCATCTTGCCAGCTGTAGAAGTAGAAACTGAACGAAGTTGGTAGCATAGCTGCATGACAAATCAAGATAAGAGAAAATAGGATCTTATATTTGAAACCAGAGTCGAACAAGGATTAGACTGCAAAAGAAAAGAAAAGAAAAGAAAAGAAAAGAAAAGAAAAGATATTAGGGGAGGAATAGAGAACACCGCTTTCTAGAGGAGAAATAGAGAACTCAGCCTATACATTCTTATCTTTGATTTTATTGTTGAATAATATTAAGATATTATTATTTTTATCTGTGTGATTATGGACCAATTTCTGTGCAACAAACATTTGCTTGTGAAGAATACTTTAAGGATATCAAATTGTAGGGGGGGTAATTGACCCCTTGATATCTGTCTTGATTGAGGGTATACATCTTAACTACGAGTTATATAAGTAGTTGACGATTGTCACGGTGACTTGCTAAGCTTTTTATTATTTATATTAACCTTTATTGATTATTAGGTTAATCTATAATGATTCATGTTATTATTGGTGCATAGTATGACATATTATATGTTAGATGGGGTCATAAGCTTATTGTCTTTTTTTTTTTTTTTACTATAAATAAGATGTCAAATAAGATTTTTCGTGTTATATGAACACGGATATGAGACAGAAATGAAAGATTTAAAAGTGTATAGAGATGGAAAGGAAGAAAGTTGGACAATAATAGCATGGGAGACTAAAAGCAAATGTATTATTGAAGGTATAAAGATGTGTTTGCCACTTGGGGAGTTTGGCTTTGGAAATTAAGTGATAGAATGACTTGTGGTGAGAAAAAGATGGAAAGACAAAGCAATATCAACATCTTGGGTGGTTTCAAACTCATTCCAACCCTTCATTTTTTTTCTCTTTTTTTCCTTCACATAGAGATATGAAGCTTTAGTCTTATTTTATGCTCGACTTGAACTAAATTATTTACCTATAAATTATAACACATCTGTAGAAGGGGTCAGTCTTTATTTATGGCTATGAAAGTGGCAGTGTTTGTACGTATAGCATTATTTATTTTATTGACTTACCTTTCTGGGGAGGCAAGTGGGCAGTGTAAGGAAAGCAACCTTGTTGTATTAAAAATCACAGCCACAAAGGGCATAATTTGTTGGTCTATCTCTATCAGTGGAGTGGATTGGATTACATACCCTGTTAAACCATCCTCCATAACCCAGAAGACAAAACGTACATAACTACTTTGTATAGTTCATGTATATAAAGCTTCAATGTTCCCTTGAATCGATTTTATACCGATTCTTTGGAGGGTAGAGAAGAAGAATCCTCTTCAAAACCTCCAAGTTCACCAATGATATATTGCTTCAAAAGGACTGGAATTCTAGCCTTGGAAGAACAATTAGGTCGGTCTATTACCATTTAGCTAACAGAGAATTCTTTTTTCCTTCACTCTCTCTTTTGTTCTTAAAGTAAGTTCTTACTCTCTTAAAGGAAGTTAAATTAATGCTTTCTCTATTCAACCTTTTTTAGTATAGATAGTGACAGACATTATATAGAGTAAGAATGTATAGAGCAAGAAGCCAATATTGTGCATTACACCATAATGCCAAACAGAGTGTTTCAGCACATTATTCACATAATGCTATTAATTTTGGATAAGCCAATCAAATTCTTTGCTTTAAAGACACAGAGAGAGGGGAGAGGGCTTTGGTGGAATCCAACAATAGGACACATGTGGTGAGCAGATTCTTATCCCAAAGTCAATTGGATGTGATTCCTTTTCCTTCTCATCCACACTTTTGGAGTTTTTTTTTCCTTTGAAAGGTCTGATTTTATTGATTAATGAACAATGGGGTTTGTTAGTGTTTAACAATGGTTTAAACATAAATGTTAAGCACTAATTTTGAAGCATTTAACATGTCTAAATGAAGCGTCCTTTTGTCCTTTTCTCGATTATGAACTTGTTTTTATAGTTATTTTCAAAATAAGTTTATATCCTTGTGATATTATAATGTTTTAGGTGATTAGATAGTTTACCTAATTACATAGGACATGATATTTAGTGTCACACCTTGCAATAGAAGAATATATGAATAGTAAAACTTTGAAAGTTTAAATCATTATATTTTTTTTTAAGAATGGATATTCCTTTTTTCGATTCAAAATATCCGAATCCAAAACATGTGGGAATCTAAGCATGCATCCTTTTCAAATAAAAGAAAACCAATAAAGTAATCACCAACGAAATCCATCTCATTTTTTATTTAAAAATAAAACAGAAGATAATAAATAAAAAGAAAATTGAAAAATACAAATAGAAGGCAAAAGAAAAGCTCATTTTGAGATGAATCCATTGATTTTAATCAACAAATGGGTCTTGAATTTGTATTAAAAGTTTATCAACATATATTTTATAGTTAATGGATTGACATTAAAAATTGCAAAATGAAGAAAGGACAATTGACAATATTAGACGATTTTTTTATTATTGTTTCTTGAAAAAAAGCAATTTGGTACACCATCAATTTAATTTTCTTTTTTAATTAAAATACAAAATTTGGCTTTAATTTAGAAAAATAAAAAATAAGAAAAAACATTTTTTAGCTGTTCTGTCCTTTTGTCAGCTTCTATACTTTTCTCTGTTCATCGCACAAAAATAATTCTACAAATATCATAGATTCAAGTCATGAACATGAACCCTCACTTTTTTCTCTATTTACGAAAATGCACCCCTCTTCTACTATTATTATTATTTTTTTTTAAATATCTTCACTAAGAACTGGAATTATTTTTTATGAATTTATCGAGGGAGGGAGAGTCCGAATTAATTATAAATAATATTTCGAAAGCACGTTTGTTTATTATAGATTGTGTTAGGAAGAGGGAATATTTGGGATTGTGAGGGGCTTTTTGGTCAAATAAAATGTATTTTATGGATTTATGGATTCTCTGTTTTTTCGCTGCTAGAGACCCCATCGGCAAACTCTGAATCTCAGAGCCTAACCGACGAGGAAGAAGAGAAAAAACCAAGAAACAAAGATATGGGTATTTTGCTTGACGATGTTGTGCTTATCAGGCCGTCGGAGAAACACGATGAGCCTAGCGTCATCACTGTCAATTGCCCCGATAAGACTGGGTTGGGCTGCGACTTGTGCCGCGTAATTCTCTTCTTTGGTCTAAACATTGTCCGAGGCGGTGAGTGAATCCTCAAATCGTTTCTTTCTTTTGATTTTAGACGTCGTGGTTAGGTTTTCGTTTTCGGTATTCAAATCAAACAGGTAGTGGGCGATTGGGTGCTTTTTTCTTTCTTTTTTGGATTGATTTATTTCAATTAGTGATTTGATGGTCTTGCTAATCTTCTTGTGAATTTGTCAATACCTTGTTGAAGATGTTACAACCGATGGTAAATGGTGCTACATAGTGTTGTGGGTGACTGGAAATTCGTCGACGAGGTGGGGATTATTGAAACAGAGGCTGGTGGAGGTTTGCCCTTCTTGTTATTCAGCTGCTACGCTTGTTTATTTCCGCCCCGAACCACAGTCCTCAAAGCCCTCCGATATGTTTCTTTTGAAGTTTTGTTGCCATGACAGAAGAGGGCTTTTGCACGGTTTGTAATTTCCTCCCTTGAACTTGTGCTATGACTACAACTGTACGAGGAAAATGAAACCAAACTGTGGAATACTGTTCTTCTTGTCTCATCTGTTTGTTTCCATTTGTCTTGCTTGTCACATCTGTCTCTAATCTGAAGAGAGTGGTTTCTTTGTAGATGTAACATCCGTTCTTTGCGAACTTGAGCTTCTTATAGAGAAAGTGAAAGTGTCGACTACCCCAGATGGAAAAGTGATGGATCTGTTTTTCATCATTGACACCAGGTTTACATCGAGCTTTATTTATCTGCAATGTGTAACTTATGTGTTTCCCAAGGATTAAATTCATTTTGATTGGCTTGTGTGGGGGATGGACTCATGGTTTCATGAGAGCTAGAACAGTATTGCTTGCATAAATAGTTCAATTCAGGTTACATTGTAGTATGATTGGGCAGTGGTGTTTGCACGGTGTTCCTTCATTGTAGGTTAAATTGTAAGTAATCTTGTGTGGCCAAGACTTCTAGTATGAGCTTTCCGTTCTACCACTTTGCGGTCTCCATTCTTTTTCCTTTACCTGTGAGAAGAGGGGTGGGAAGGGTTGGGTTTGGCAGCTCCTGAGATGATGCCAACATAGTAGCAGAATAAGAGAAACCGTAAATGTTGAATGTACAATTGCAGACCTTGAAGAGAGAAACCCCAGCTCGTGTTTGACATGAATGTATATATATAATTTCTACATACTAATGTATGGTGTTTCCTTTTTCCTTGTTTCAGAAAACGTATTTTCATTTTTGTGTTTCCATTAGGGAGCTTATGCACACAACAAAGAGACAGCGGGACACGTGTGACCACTTGAAGCATGTCTTGGGGGATGCAATGATTAGTTGTGAAATAGAGATGATTGGCGCCGAGGTTATGTTATGCTCGCAGGCATCGTCTCTTCCATCTGAAATAGCAAAAGAACCTGATTTAAATGAAAATTCACCTACCACATCATCAGGTGCTAAAGATGTCTCTGTCACCCTGGACAACTCGCTCAGTCCTTCTCATACCCTTGTCCAAATTGTCTGTCAAGATCACAAAGGTCTTATTTATGACATTATGAGAACTCTTAAGGATTACAACATTCAGG